ATTAAAAAAAGTTTTAAATCTTTTTATCAAAAGCTTTAGTTTAATGGTCTACTAATTTATGTAAAAAAGTATATATTCCGTTGGTATGAAAGCTTTTTTGAATAAAAAGCTTTTAATTGTGATTGTTAATATATTAAAAACTTTTTTATTAATAAACTTTTAAAGTTAAGCTTTTCTAAAAAAAAAGCTTTTTGTATTATAAATTGTAAAAGTTTGTAAACAAGTTTTAATTGAACAATAATATTGAAATATTGTTAATTACTTAGTTCCATTCTTAATTAAAAAGCTTTTAGAGCTTTTAATTGTGTAGCCTATATTTTTACACTCCAATAACGTTTAAAGCTTTTTCTTTATGACTATATAGACTATAAAAAGCTTTATCTAAATAAAGTTAAAGTAAAATAATTTTCTTTTCAAAATGTTAAAGCTTTTAAAAGAAGTTAAACTTTAATGACTTTAATAAAACTATTCGTCCATGTATTTATACCTAATACCACCATATAATGATTTTCTATGGAAATCCGTGTGTATATGTGTATGTTTGATAAATGTGTGGGTATTATTACTATTGGTTTCCATGTATTTAGCAGTGTCGTTGTAGTTGTTGTAACATCAAACTGTTGAAATGATTAATCGATTTGTTCCTGTGTATTCAATATTTTTGTAAGATTTCATCTAGTTTTATATTTATTTATTTTTTATTTCTATTTAATGTATTTTTGTCGATTTCATGTTGGGCAAATAAAACGCGTTTTAATGTCAACAACAAAACAAAAACTAAATAAATAGAGTCAGTTTGTCGATTGTCGTTTTCGTATTTTAGTTGACTTTGTCTATTGGTGATATTTGACAAAGATTTTTATTTTATTTCTATGTATATTTATTTATATTGTTATTGCTGTTGTAGTTGTTATTTACTTTCCTAGATTGTCATCGATTTTAGTATTTTTTTTTTTTTAAATATATTTTCCTTAAATTGAGTGTGTATGAGTGGTTGTAATATGAATTTGATTTAATGTTAATGGTAGAGCTGGTGGCGAAGATGATGATGATGATAATGATATTATAGTTGATATTGACAACAACATTGTTGATGATGTTTATATTGATGGTGATTATTATAGACTTGTGCTATTTTTTTGTAGATTTTCCTTTTGTCATTATTAATGTTTGGGTATTCAAATGTTGGACACTAGTCACAGTCAATAGACATTTTAACATATCTACATACATACATATGTATTTATGAATGTGTTTGTAATTGGTTTGTAATGTATTGTTGGAATGAATAAGTCAATCCTCTGTATGTATTGTGGTCCTCAAATTGAAATTAGATGTTTATTTACTATTTTAAGTATGTATGCTAACATATGCTTCAAATTGTGTAGAAAAACTTCTTTTGTTATATAAAGAAAACAACAAAAAATGTATATAAATAAAAGTTTATAAAAAACACCATGTGTGATTTTTATATCCATAAATAAGTATCCTTTTTAACAGCAGGGAATTTCATTATTTGAAGAGTGTGTTAGTTAAACAAAAAAAAAAAAAAAACAAGAAACACAATAAGAACCGTGGGCGCTAACAACAAATAATAATAAATCACTTTCTAAGAAAATGAAAGCAAAAGTTGTAAAGCTTAATTCTCAAAAAAGCTTTTATAGGTTTTTTGATAAAATAGATGTTTTAATGTTTTAATCTTTAAACTAAAAAATCATTTCACTCAAACAGCTTTTTACAGAACACTTTTACAAAGAGCTTTCACTCAAAAAACTAAAAAAGTTACAAAAATTTCACATTAAAACAGCTTTTACACAAATGCATGTTTTTAAAATACATTTTCAGACAATTTTTTCTAAAAAAAACTTTTCACATAATTTTTTAAAAAACTTTCACAAAAAAATTAAAAAAAAAATATATCATAAAAAAGCTCTTCACAGAAAATAATTTTTCTTAAAACTACTTTTCACAGAAAATTCTGTTTAAAAAGCTTCCTACAAGCTATTTATAGTAATTTTTTTAAACTTCCATAGAACAGCTTTTCTGAAAAGCACTTTCCACAGAAACAAAAAAGCTTTTTATTGTAAAACTTTTTTCTCAAAAAAATTGGTTTCCACAGAAACTTAAATCATTATTTTGAAAATGCTTTTTAAAGAAAAACTTTTTCTAAAAACACTTTCACAGGAAAGCTTTCTTTGATAAAAGCTTTTCACAAGAAAACTATTTAAAAAAAGCTTTTCACAAAAAAATAACATAAATTATTAAACATTTTTTCACTCTAATTTCACAAATAGTTTCTTTCTAAAAAGCTTTTTAACTTTTCAGTAAAATGTATTGGTTTTTCTAACAGCTTTTCTTTAATTCTTAAAAAAAAGTTTTTTCCAAACATAGGAAATTTTAAACAAAATTTGTATAGAGCTTTTGTAGGAAAATCGTTTATAAAAAAGCTTTTATAAATAAGCTTTATCGCCGACTTTTTAAAAAAAAATTTATAAGACAATTCTTAAAAAAAAACCTTTTTCAAAGTGAAATTTTTTTATATGAACATCGTTTATAAAAAGCTTTATCACAAACTTCTTTAAATAACGTTAATGAATAAGCTTTTTAAAAAAGCTTTTTCATATAAATCTTTTAAAAAAGGCTTTTTTGTATAAAAAAAGCTTTTTCATAAAAATCTCTTGTGTAACTTTTCTCAGAAAATTTCTTTTTACTTGAAAGAAACTTAAAACAAAAAGTTTTATACAAAAGCTTTTTTAAAAATAAAAACATTTTGTAGAACTTGTTAGTCTATAATATGTTGTCCCATATTTCTAGCCCTTTGGCAACTCTTTTTTTTATTTCTGTAAAAAATTGTCTTGGTAATCAACATGTTGTCGCTATTACTTCCTTATCCCTCACAGTTTTTTATGACTTTCTGTTTAATATAGTGTGAGATAGTTTTGTATTTATTTATTTTTTTATGGTAAAGTGTTTTTTTATGACCGATACCGATGAGCAGTTTTATTTTCCCTAATAGTTCATCTCAAAACACTGACCCTTTTTAATGTGCGAAAAAAAAAAAACTAAACAAGAAATATACAAGTAAGCTTATCATCAGCGGCTTAAACAGCAACGAACGAATGAATGAATGGACAAGACAAATTCCATACACTAAAAGCAACATTAAAAATCCATAAACATACAAACCATATTCTTATACTTATCTCCTCTAGCTTTTTTTCCATCTTCTAAAAGTTTTTTTTCTTATAAAGAAAGAAAAAGTCTAGTCTATGTGTATAGAAAACAGCCAACAGCCAATGCCGCTTGTTGTATTATAAAAGCTTTTGGACTATGACGAGTCCATTAACTATGAGATGGCGGAACTTTTGAAAATAAAATAAAAAATTAACTTATTTATGTTTTTAGCTTTTTGCCCACTAATCTTTCTTAGGAAAAAGTAAAGCTCGTAATTTGTTGGTGTTTGCCATTTGTTAGAGGTTCTATTGTTGTTGCTAGTGTTTTAATAAATAAAAAGTTCTTGACAAAGGAAATCATAGCTAAAAAAGGAAAAAAGTGAATTGAAAAACACCCACTCATTAAAGAAACGTTCTGCTAAACAAAATCAAAATAATTTTTGAGTCATATAGATACATACATAAATGATGATGAGTTAGTGGTTTGATATTAAGTTGGAAAACTATGTTCACACTAACAAAATTTTGTTATAACATAAGAACTTTTTGATTTTCATTTGTGGCCAAATAATCTTTGTTAGTGTCAGCCGTTTCTGTCTTGTAAAAGCTTTTCTGTTATATAAAATAAATTTAAGACAATCGTGCCTCTAGATTTTGAAAGTAAAAGCCATTTAGGTTTTTTTTTTTGTGTGAGGTCTAGAGGTCAAAAAATTTAATTTAATTCAATAAGTACCCCCAATATTTAGTTGTTACACGTGCCTAGAACTAAATTAAGAAAGTTTGTTGTTTTTTTTAGTTTTGGTTATCGCCAAGAACATGTTACTTTCCAAATAATTGACAACAATATGTGCAAATATGACAGAAAGTTATTTTACCGCAAAGAAAAACTTCAAATTGAAAAGGTAGTAATCAAAATTTGGCAACAATTTCGTTATTTCGTGGCTAATCAAAGTTTTAGAAACTTTCTTAAGGTTGTTTGTCATATTAGGAAAATCTCTATCAAATTTCTTGGAACCCTTAAACTTGTTCACAAACAGTGTTTTGCCGTAACAAATAGACTTGATTACAAAAAGCTCTTACTAGAAAAGCTTTTAACCAAATAAAATTTTATTAGAAAGGCTTTTTAACAAAAAAACTTTTATAAGAGCATCATTGTAACTGAAAAAAGGTTTTTTAGCAGCTCTTAATAGACAAACTTTATAAACCACAAAAAGCTATTTCTATAAAAGGTGTTTTTCATCAAATAAGCTTTACTAAACTTGTTCACAAACATGGTTTTTGACATTAATCAAATTTTTTGCCGTTAAAAAAGCAACAAAGAGACTTGATTACAAAAAGCTCTTACTAGAAAAGCTTTTTAAGCATAAAAGCTCTTACTAAAAAACCTTTTTAACCAAATAACCTTTTACTAGATAGGTTTTTTAACAAAAAAAAAAAACTTTTATTATAACATCATTGTAACTAAAAAAGCTTTTTAGCTTTTACTACTAAAGCTTTTTAAACAAAAAAGTTTTTAATAGACAAACTTTATAAACAACAAAAAGCTATTTCTATAAAAGGTGTTTTTCATCAAATAAGCTTTTACTAGAAAAGCTTATTAATAAGAAACTTTTTCTAGAAAAGCTTTTTAACCTAAAAAAGTTTTACTTGAAAGGCGTTTTAATAAAATAAACTTGGTTTTATCTACCAAATAACCAAAAAGTTTTTACTAGGAAAGCTTTTTAACCAAAAAATGCTTTATATAGCTTTTATACTTTTTTTACTTTTTCAACTTTTAATAAAGTTTTAGAACTAAACTAATTTATTACTCTATTCTCTCTTTACAGATGAATCGAAATTAAATTCCGGTTCTTGGGAAGATCCCCTGCCCACGACGACCACACATCACAACAATAACGCCAGTCAGAATCTAACGAATCTAGCTAGCGCTCAAAGCGCTAAAAACGGCAACATAACGACAACAACAGCACAACTACACAATCTCACAAATTTAAGACGTCCTGACACCTTAGCCACAGCACGTCACAATCTCCAGCCACTGATTATACAACCGGTAACAAATCTACAACAACAACATCATCACCATCATCAGCAGCAACACAGTCATCATCAACAACATTCAGCGTTTACCGGCAGTGTCTTAGGCCGCTGTAACGAAGCGGCGGCACTACAACAACAACAACAGCAACAACATCACCAACAGCAACCTCTACTACAGGGGGCTGCTGTAACCGGCAGCACAATAGCTGGCGGTAGTTTTAACGCCAACGGCGGATCGACTGCCGTTGGTGGCGCCACTGACGGTTCGGCGGGTTCGCCCAATAACATAGCGGTTGTCGAACATATAACAGACTCCGCACAAATCGATTTTCAAACAAAATCACCTTTACCACCTAACAGCTCTTCGGAAGACGAAGAGTTGGCCAACGAGGAGGATTTAAACGGCAGCGTGACGTCATCTCTGAGTGCCACAAATCAACGCAATTCACAATTGCGTTCCACTTTCAATCGGGCCAAACAACACTTGTCCTTTGACAAATGGCGTTCGTCGAATGCCAACAATTCAGCTGCTGATACAAGCAGTAATTCAAGTACCAGCAGTGGTGGTGGCGGTGGAGGTAGTGGTACATTAACACGCCGTGCGAGTACAACTTGTGCCACCACAATGCCCACAGCCCATCAACCGCCGCGAGAAGATATCACAACACCGGGTGAAACGCCTGGTGGTAGATTATCTCGTTGGTTTTCCATACGACGCGGTTCATCACATCAATACGATGTGGGCGGTCGTGATGGCAGACAATCGAATTCATCGAGTATAGATTTGCCAGATGCTGTGTGTGATGGCCAACAGGCATCGCCACAAAAAATAACAAATTCAGCGAATTCATCAAAATCTGCCTGTAAAATGCCTGGGGTACCAGAAGTAAGTGCAATAAAATATTGTAAAAGATAATAACATAATGTTTAATATCCTGTCTATGTTTGGAAACACATCCTGTTGAAATAATTTTTTTATTAATTTTTTTATTTTTCTTTTTCAATTAGAATGAAGATGATGATATATCATCATTAACCGCATCGACTTCTAGATTCGATTTGGATTTAATGATACCACCGGGTAGTCGTGCCAACGGCACTGCCCGTTCGGCTCACAATCGTTTGGTCCAGCCTATGTTACCACCAGCGCCACCTGGTCTTTCACAGCAACAGCTTAAGCGTCGCCATATTGTGGCTGCCATTGTTCATAGTGAAAATTCATATGTGGCAACTCTACAACGTCTAGTCAATGTAAGTTTATGTGAAAGTTTATCTTTGTGTGTATTTGTTTTTTTTTTCAAATTCATCTCCATGTATGCAAATTTTATATTTCTTTTGTTTTAATTAGAGTAGTTTATGTTTTTTCTTTAATTTTTGCATTTTAGTGTTAATTTTTAATCATTTTACACTTTCGTTTCTTCTTTCGAAGTTTTTCATTAATTTTATTATTTTGCATGTTTGAAAAACATTTTTTCTAATAGCTCCTATGTGTGAAAAAACACATTAAAAAATTCATTTAATTTTCACATGAAATTAAACATTATAATGCAATAAATTAAGTAATTAATTGTTAATTTTAATTTTTTATTATGCTTTTTTCAATATCATGAACATTTCTATGTTTTCGCCACCCGCCATAACATATCAGTCGATAATACATTATCTATTTCTGAATCGATAGAATCAAAATATAGATAAAAAATATGACTACCTAGATCGGTTTTCATAAAAAAACTTTTCTTTTTTCTCTTAATTTCAATTTTTTTGCATGTTTTCTTAAATTTTCATATTAACTTTTTTTATCCCCCTAATATTCATACTTCATATTAATACATTTTTATTGTAAATTTTATTTCTTTACATGCCATCCATCCAAATTTTATATAAATATAATTCCATCCCCCTCTCTCTACTACTACTTACTTACTACGTCACGCTATCAAAATAAATATAAAAAAAAACAAATTGAAAATAATTAAATAATTAATAATTTGAATTAACATTTTAATCATCAATCATCATTTACTACTAACAAATAATCCCCCTCAAAAATCAAAATATAGTTGCAAAATTAAAGTAAATAAAAATGTACAGAATTGTAAATTAAAATTGAGAAAAAAAGAGGCAAAATAAATGTTTGAATAAAATTATATATCATTGGATAGTTTAAAGAAAAACTAAAAACTTGACCACTTTTCAATTGAAATTAAATTGTTGAAGTTTTTCTGGAATCTCGAAATTAGTCAATTCACAGTAACATGTCGTATTTTAGCTACGAAAGTGAATAGTTTAAAGAAAGTGACATCATTTCCTTTTTAAAAGCATATGAATTATTCGCTATCAGTTCGAGATGAATGAAAAACTATCAATTCAATGTGAATGACAAAACAAATAAATTGTTCCAGATTAATGTGTTGTTTCTAGATAACGAGCGAGTAGTTTGAGCACAAATTTTACTTGTATTTTGTTATTGTAACAAAAACAAAATACAAGTAAAATTTTAACTCAAACTACTCACACGTTATCTAGAAACAACACATAAGTCTATAGTGTAGCCTACAGTCTAGTCTATAGTCTAATCTATAGTGTAGTCTATAGTCTATTCTATAGTCTAGTCTAGTCTATAGTCTAGTCTATAGTCTAGTCTATAGTCTAGTCTATAGTCTAGTCTATAGTCTAGTCTATAGTCTAGTCTATAGTCTAGTCTATAGTCTAGTCTATAGTCTAGTCTATAGTCTAGTCTATAGTCTAGTCTATAGTCTAGTCTATAGTCTAGTCTATAGTCTAGTCTATAGTCTAGTCTATAGTCTAGTCTATAGTCTAGTCTATAGTCTAGTCTATAGTCTAGTCTATAGTCTAGTCTATAGTCTAGTCTATAGTCTAGTCTATAGTCTAGTCTATAGTCTAGTCTATAGTCTAGTCTATAGTCTAGTCTATAGTCTAGTCTATAGTCTAGTCTATAGTCTAGTCTATAGTCTAGTCTATAGTCTAGTCTATAGTCTAGTCTATAGTCTAGTCTATAGTCTAGTCTATAGTCTAGTCTATAGTCTAGTCTATAGTCTAGTCTATAGTCTAGTCTATAGTCTAGTCTATAGTCTAGTCTATAGTCTAGTCTAGTCTATAGTCTAGTCTATAGTCTAGTCTATAGTCTAGTCTATAGTCTAGTCTATAGTCTAGTCTATAGTCTAGTCTATAGTCTAGTCTATAGTCTAGTCTATAGTCTAGTCTATAGTCTAGTCTATAGTCTAGTCTATAGTCTAGTCTATAGTCTAGTCTATAGTCTAGTCTATAGTCAAGTCTATAGTCAAGTCTATAGTCTAGTCTATAGTCAAGTCTATAGTCTAGTCTATAGTCTAGTCTATAGTCTAGTCTATAGTCTAGTCTATAGTCTAGTCTATAGTCTAGTCTATAGTCTAGTCTATAGTCTAGTCTATAGTCTAGTCTATAGTCTAGTCTATAGTCTAGTCTATAGTCTAGTCTATAGTCTAGTCTATAGTCTAGTCTATAGTCTAGTCTATAGTCTAGTCTATAGTCTAGTCTATAGTCTAGTCTATAGTCTAGTCTATAGTCTAGTCTATAGTCTAGTCTATAGTCTAGTCTATAGTCTAGTCTATAGTCTAGTCTATAGTCTAGTCTATAGTCTAGTCTATAGTCTAGTCTATAGTCTAGTCTATAGTCTAGTCTATAGTCTAGTCTATAGTCTAGTCTATAGTCTATTCTATAGTCTAATCTATAGTCTAATCTATAGTCTAGATCTATAGTCTAGTCTATAGTCTAGTCTATAGTCTAATCTATAGTCTAATCTATAGTCTAGTCTATAGTCTAGTCTATAGTCTAGTCTATAGTCTAGTCTATAGTCTAGTCTATAGTCTAGTCTATAGTCTAGTCTATAGTCTAGTCTATAGTCTAGTCTATAGTCTAGTCTATAGTCTAGTCTATAGTCTAGTCTATAGTCTATTCTATAGTCTAATCTATAGTCTAGACTATAGTCAAGTCAATAGTCTAGTCTATAGTCTAGTCTATAGTGTTATCTATAGCAGTAGACTTAGTCTATTAAAAGTCTAAGGAAATTATATCTAAATTATCAAATATTTTTCAATAATTCCATAAACAAATTTTGCCTCTTTTTTCTACTATTTAAACATGAAAAAAGTATTATTACTTTTTGTTCTATTAGCCGCAAACCTCTAAAACAAACAATTTCCATTTTTTCTCTATTTTCTTTAGGATTACAAAAAACCTCTTGAAGATAGTAGTCCACCCGTGTTGAGTGCTACCAAAATAAGTACACTCTTCCATCGCCTGCCAGAAATTCTCCAATCGCATCAATTGTTTCGCATCGCTCTCGCTGAATGTGTACGCAATTGGGATCGTGATGAAAAATTGGGTGATTGTTTTGTGAGCGCCTTCAGTAAGCCACGTATTTTAGAAATCTATTCAGGTTTCATCAATAATTTCTCAGCTGCCATGGAATTAGCTAAAATGGAAGAAAAACGCAAATCAGCATTGGCGGATTTCTTCAAAGTTAAACAAATAAGTGCTCATGATCGTTTAAGTTTCTTTGGCTTAATGGTTAAGCCCGTTCAACGTTTTCCTCAATTTATACTCTTTCTACAAGACTTACTCAAGTATACACCCCAGGGACATCATGATCGCATGTCGCTACAATTGGCTCTAACACAACTGGAACTGTTGGCTGAAATGCTCAATGAACGTAAGCGTGAGGCAGAACAGTATCAAGGTTTCAAAGAGATGTTAGGACATATAAGTGGTACATTTAATACACGTTCTCTAACCACAACCGAAGGTAATCGGCCACGTTATCTACTGCGTGAGGATAATGTAACACATATGGAATTTAATCAGGCTGGTTTTATAGTCAAATCTAAACAACGTCGTTTGCTGTTGTTGAATGATAAGGTCATTTGTGTTTCAGTGGCACCCAAACAGTCACATGATTTTGGTGCCACCGAAAAGTTGACATTTAAATGGATGTATCCGGTAACGGATGTGGAAATTGTGGATAATAGTACTTCCGCTACCTTATCGAGAATATTAACTGCTGGTAAGTGAGAATGTTATCCTTAAAAACATATGTAGATGTTCATCCTAGTAGTTTCAAACTTTCCCCCACTTAATCAAACTATAACTCGTATTACTTTATGACAATTGCACTGTACATGTCAACATTTTTAACTTAAAACTTAACTTTTACTTTAAAATTATAATTATAATGAAAATGAAAACAATTACTTGGCAGAAAACTGAAAAAAAAACTCCATCTATTTTCTTGTCTATTCATAAATAGCAGCATGAATCAAAACGCAAGAAAAAAAAGATGCCATGATCGTTCAAAAACCTTTAAAGAGTTTGAAAACTCCTCCTTAACATGTCAATGACTTGGAAACGAGAGTGAAACTTATATTTTAGACTTAAATATTAGAAAATTTCCTAGCATCTATTTTTTTTGTTTCGGTCTTGACTAATGAATTGCGTGCCGTTAAATACCCCCAACTTAGTTTTTTTTTTTTTTTTTTTTTTTGTTTTTCTTTATTGTATGATGGCGGCCCATCATAATATTTGCGTCCTCACAAACAAATAAAGCGTAAAATGGAAAATACTCACCATTATTATTAATATATGGTAGAAAAGAAATAAATAGTAATAACGTTATTTTACTCCTTCCAAGCATAACAGAAATCATTAAATGAAAAAAAAAATTAAAGAAACAAACAAAATTTTAAGAAAAAAAAAACTATAATAAATAACTTGCGTATTTTCAATTGTGTAAAATGAAAATGCAGTACATGCGCGCATGTGCAGTTGAGGTTTTAACCCTAGAAAGAGATCAGTCTTTAATAATTGATCTTTACATAGCTTTTTCCATTCTATGAAATGTCAACTGTTCATAACACGACCTTATGATGCAACTAATACATGATCACATGATCGTTTCGACTTTATTCCCTAAAATTTTGTTAATGACTTCATCCGATCATCGGAGTTCTATTTAGAAATAGTGTCATTGTTAGATCAGATAGCGATCAACGATCAGTGATCCGTGATATTGAAAGATCATTAAACAATCAATTCTTTGCTTTTTGAAAATTAATATAACACGATCAGTTTGAGATCACTTCGTTTGGACTCTTAATAGTGAAGATTTACCTGGATTCAATTATACTGCTAGATCAACTGGCGATCAATACTCTTTACTGATATTGCAAGATCATTGTCATTATTACGTCAATCAGTTAGGGATGGGCAAGATTATTTAATGATTCATTTCTTCCAGTTTTGTGCTTTCTGAAAACAAGATCAGTTAATAATCACTTCGTTTGGATACTTAATATTGCAGATTTACCTGCGATTAAATTATATTGATTGATCAGTTGGCTATTAACAATCAACACTCTTTACTGAGCAAGATCCTTATTTTGAACAGATATTCTAACATCAGTTAGCGATCATCATTCTTTACAGATTTTAAATGATCATTTTCAATTCACTTCCGATCTTTGCTTTTTGAAAACTTATATTACAAGATCAGTTAGAGATCATTGCGTTTTGACAATTATTTGGATGAAAATATATTTCTAGATTGGTTGACAAATCAACACTCTACGATCAACAATCTTTATCGATATTCCAAAATCATTTAACGTTTAATTCCCTTCTGATCTTTGCTTTTTGAAAACTAGTATTGGAATATTAAATAGAGATCACTTCGTTTTGATTCTTAATTGTGAAGATTTAGTGAGATTTTGTAAAATTGATCTTCAGTCTTTGCTTTGCTTCATGTTTGATAATGAATCCAATGGCGTTCAGTTGATCGACAATCTTTACTGATATTGCAAGATCATTTAACGATCGCTAATTCGCTTTGGATTTTTTGCCTTTTGAAAACTAATATTGAGAGATCAGTTAGGTCTTTGGCTTTTGAAAATCAATATTGAAAGATCAGTTAGTGATCACTACGTTTTGACTATTAATAGTGAATATTTATATGGTTTGATTAAGGTAAAGATTTTAAAATCGATCTTCATTCTATACATAGCTTCGATTTTGATATTGAAGTATTCGAACATAGGAATTTTACAATTTCAATATTGAATATGTCAATCAGAAAGAGTTTGGAAAACTGATCTGAGTCAAACTTTTTTATTTTCACTCATTTATTTGTTATTTTTTGGAAGAATGCAACTAAAAATTTTAAGATCATGACAGAAACTAATTCATTCTCCTACAATTGATCTTTATGCCTTTTGCATTTTTTTACATATTAAAACCAGTTATAGAGATTAATACAAATATAGGTTCTGAACTGCGATCAGTTCCTTACTTCTTTTTTGATTTCATAGAATAACATATTTGTCAAGATTTCAAAATTGGAAACCAAATATAGGTTCTGAGTACCAAAATAAATATGAAATAGATCAAAATTGCGAACAGTTCTGAACTTTGTTTTAAATTTCATAGAATAACGTATTTGACAAGATTTCAAAATTGCCCCCACCGGATCATTTAAGGGTTAATTTGGCGAAAAACTAACAAATAATAGCCATAACTCTTATAACTGGTGATTGAGTGGTGGGAGCTTTATTTTTTTGTTTTCTTCTTAGCGCATTTAAAATAATAACAGTCTTTCAATATCGTCATGTTATGATGATTTTTAAAACTTTATTTACCAGCAAAGAAAAAAAACATTGCGTTTTTCTCAACAAGTTTTTCCAGCAACGAAATGAAAAGAAAAAAACACTGCAAATGGGGGGCGAACAAAATCAAAAGACCAAAAACTTTTAAAGCAAAAAATATGTTACTAATAAAACACTATGATTTAGTTTAACAGGCTAAAAAGATACAATTGAAATAAAGAAAAAAAATGGTCTTGTTATTGAATGTAGACAATTGGCATCAAATATCAGTTTATGGTTTTGGTTACGTTTTAGTTTAAATTTAACTTTTTTCCCAATATCGTGCCGTTGGAAATTTCAAGACAAACAAACAGCAACTTACAAGTTTATAAACATTTATTAAAGTGGTCATTGTGTGTTTTTTTTCTTTTGCCTTGATTTAAAAAAAAAAGAAAATTGTAACCTTTACTTTTATAAAGCGCGTTTGCATTTGAATTTTCTTTATTTTCCTTTTTGCCATGTCAAATTTATTTTTTGAAAATAAAATGAACGAACGTTAGTTTTTCATGTTAATTTGTTGATTTATGCAATTTGCCAATAATCATAATTATTGTATTTCAATACATTTTTATTATTGTTTTTGATAGTTAGGGAACAATTCAAAATGTGAAAAACCAAATCATTGTTATTGTTTTTTTTTTTTAGTTGTTGCCATGGTTGGTAACTCAAGACTGTTGGGAAAAAGGGTATGGTTTCCGCTTCGGATGTAATAAATTGCTAAAGAGATAAATAAAGTGAATTTTTATGGTTTGTTTTGATTGTTTATGAAATAAACAATCCATTTTGTTTAGCAGGCCTACTATATAATGAAGTAGTTTTTTTTTTCTCTCAAAATAATACCAAAAGCTGCCAAACAGTTTATTAATAATATAATTTTTTTTTTTATTTTTTAACGTTTTTCTTCTTAATTTTTTATTATTTTTTCATATTTTGAGGAGATTGTATGTCAGAAAATTTATTGTTTAGAAAAACGACTACAAGAAGATGAAAATAATATAAAAAAAAAAAACTTCCTAAAACGATAACGATCAAAATACGAAAAAAAAATCAACCACAAATAAAACAAAAAGTTTAAATAATAAACATTAATGCGGAAATTTTGTTTTAAACAAAGTTTTACTGATTATTAATATGAAGGTAGACAAAATTATATAAAATGAAAGTAATTGTTAGACACACTTTGCTCATAAAAAAACTCGTTAAGAAATTTCTAGAGAATTCCTAGAAAAGTTAAACAAATTCTTGTAGATATTTAAGAACTTGTCTTAGGGCCAATCTTTAGGTGAAAGATAAGCGATTAAATTAAAATTAATCCTCAAAAAATGTTTTTGAGTACTTAATTAGTTAATTTAGTTTGCAAGTTTAAGCGCCCAATGGAGGTGGTTTAAACTTAAGCACGAAATGCAAAAGTGTAAACAGCTGATGCAAAAAAATTAATACAATTTTTATAAATATAAACATTAAAATGTTCTATTTATTGATTAGTATAAATTATGGACACTTCAAAATACATTTTTTTTTTTGTTTTTAATTTAAGTTTTCATTAGTTTTCATATTAAATTTACAATTGTCTTCTTCTTTTTTATAAAATATGCATTGTTTTGATAACAAACAGGGGAGTTTTCTATTGTTTTGTATGGCAACACTGCGAAGTTTAATCTTGTACTCAAAAACATCAAAGGGGATTAACATAAGATTAAATTTATTTTTAGATTAACTAATCTGATTATTAATTGGCATTTGATTACCATCTCAAAAACCCGCTCTTAGAAGTTTCCAATTCCGTAATGATTTGTGTTGCCAACATTTAACAACAATTTTTAAAAGTTCTAGCTATTGCAACAGTTCTTTTCGGTCTGCTAAAGCTTCAGGTCATTTCAGAGCGCCGATTCTCTTCTTCCGAGTTTCTTATAGGGAGTTTTGCTAGGGTTCTTTAAGAGGCAGCTTACGATTTATAAAGCATCCACATGGTTAACAATCGTTAGCCTAGTGTGATTCATCGTTTTAGAGCAACGGACCAATAGTTGTGGAAACCATAAAGTTTTTGTAGTCAAAGCTTCAGGTCATTTCGGAACGTCGATTCCCTTCTGCCGAGTTTCTTATTAAGAGTTTTGCTAGAGCTCTTTTTTAAGAAGCAGCTACCACATGGTTAACAATCTTTGGCCTAGTGTGTTTCGCCGTTTTAGAGCAACGATCCAATTGTAGTGGAAACCATAAAGTTTTTGTAGTCAAAGCTTCAGATGATTTCAGAGCGTCGATTCCCTTTTGCCGAGTTTCTTATTGGGAGTTTAGCTAGAGTTCTTTTTCAAGAAGCAGCTTAAGATTTATAAAGCTTCCACATGGTTAACAGTCTTTATCCTAGTGTTATTCATCGTTTTAGAGCAACGATCCAATTGTCGTCGAAACAATAAAGTTTTTGTAGTCAAAGCTTCAGGTCATTTCAGAGCGTCGATTCCCTTTTGGCCTAGTGTGTTTCGTCGTTTTAGAGCAACCGACCAATAGTTGTGGAAACCATAAAGTTTTTGTAGTCAAAGCTTCAGATTATTTCACAGCGTCGATTCCCTTCTGCCGAAATTCTTATTCGGAGCTTTGCAAGAGTTCGTTTTTAAGAAGCAGCTTACGATTGATAAAGCTTCCACATGGTTAACAATCTTTGGCCTAGTGTGTTTCGTCGTTTTAGAGCAACGATCCAATTGTCGTGGAAACCATAAAGTTTTTGTAGTCAAAGCTTCAGGTCATTTCGGAGCGTCGATTCTCTTCTTCCGAGTTTCTTATGGGGAGTTTTGCTAGAGTTCTTTTTTAAGAAGCAGCTTGCGATTGATAAAGCTTCCACATGGTTAACAATCTTAAGCCTAGTGTGATTCGTCGTTTTAGAGCAACGATCCAATTGTCGTGGAAACGATAAAGTTTTTGTAGTCAAAGCTTCAGATGATTTCAGAGCGTCGATTCTCTTCTTCCGAGTTTCTTATGGGCAGTTTTGCTAGAGTTCTTTTTCAAGAAGCAGCTTACGATTGATAAAGCTTCCACATGGTTAACAATCTTTGGCCTAGTGTGTTTCGTCGTTTTAGAGCAACGATCCAATTGTCGTCGAAACAATAAAGTTTTTGTAGTCAATGCTACAGGACATTTCAGAGCGTCGATTCTCTTCTGCCGAGTTTCTTATTGGGAGTTTTGCTAGAGTTCTTTTTCAAGAAGCAGCTTACGATTTATAAAGCTTCCACATGGTTAAAAGTCTTTTGCCTAGGGTGATTCATCGTTTTAGAGCAACGATCCAATTGTCGTGGAAACCATAAAGTTTTTGTAGTCAAAGCTTCAGGTTATTTCACAGCGTCGATTCTCTTCTTCCGAGTTTCTTATGGGGAGTTTTGCTAGAGTTCTTTTTCAAGAAGCAGCTTACGATTGATAAAGCTTCCACATGGTTAACAATCATTAGCCTAGTGTGTTTCGTCGTTTTAGAGCAACGATCCAATTGTCGTGGAAACCATAAAGTTTTTTTAGTCAAAGCTTCAGGTTATTTCACAGCGTCGATTCTCTTCTGCCGAGTTTCTTATAAGGAGTTTTGCTAGAGTTCTTTTTTAAGAAGCAGCTTACGGTTGATAAAGCTTCCACATGGTTAACAATCTTTAGCCAAGCAACGATCCAATTGTCGTGGAAACGATAAAGTTTTTGTAATCAAGTGACCCCTTATAGCTGCGATCATTTGGTGACAAAAAAGCAGTCTACTTATACCAACTACTGTTAATCGCCGCGTAGCTTTAGTATTAACGAAAGATCTTCCACACTTTTGATCCGACTTTATGTTAACGTCGCACAGCTTCAATATTTCCTTTAGACTTGCGATAGGATCGAAGTTTTTAGTCAACGAATAAAGTTCTTCATTCTAAAAAAGGCCTCTACTTTACAATATAATAAGTTTATACTATCGCCACGTAGTTTCTCGGAAACTAAGTTCCAATGAATGCCTCATTAACACCTTGCTCTATGCGGAATAATTGAAACTCATTGGATCAATCTTTCTCAGCCAATTGTTTTAGGGATTTTTCCACTTAATTTGACCAACTTAGAGCGGGTTTTTGAGTTGGCAATCAAATGGCAATTAATAATCAGATTAGTTAATACCTATAAAAATAAATTTAATCTGATGTTAATCCCCTTCGATATTTTTGAGTACATGATTAAATTTCGCAGTGTTGCCATACAACTTGCAAACAAAATTAACTAATTGAGTACTCAAAGACAACTTTCGAGGAATAAATTTAATTTAATCGCTAATCTTTTATCTAAAGATTGGCCCTTAGATGCTTAGATTCTAATCATTATTGAAACATTTACAAGTCCCCATTTCACTAACTCCTATCGCATTTCCCTTTTCAGGTCTCAATCGCGGCGGAAGTCTTAAATCGAATAGTAGCTCATGCAACAACTACTCCACCAACACACTACCTGCCAACACATCCTCGCCTTCAGCTGGAGCCTATCAAAATGCCGCCTTCGATAATTCACCCGCTGCTCTTCTAACCAATGGTGCTGATAATCTCTGCAACGAAATGAGTACACTCATGTACGATTACGAAGTTGTTTCACGTATTAACGATCTTGTTGGTTCGCTTAAGGGAACTTACAAGGAACTTAACTCGAATGTTACCCGTAATCTTATGAATTCCATACAAAGTTCTATACAAAGAAAAAATGAAGAAATGGCATGGGTGGATTCATGCTGTTTGCAATTAGTGGCCCGTAATAAGAATGGTAAAGAAGAGACGTTTACATTCCAGACAGCAAATCCCAACGTTAAAAAGGAATGGATAACGGAATTGCGTTTAGCGCAACTTGCGCTCGATATCAATAATTCACCGGCTTGGGAGACAACATCGGCTGAGCCGTGTGCCACGAGTACGCCGGCGTATGAACAGCAACAGATGCAGCTGGTGCAGAGGCAATCGAATAAGATGCCATTGTTTGTTAAAGCGATGCCGGTTTATAAGTCACAGCATCAAACGGAGGTGGGTAGATGAAACAAATTTGATAATTTCGGAAATTTTTAAAAAAGTATTCCACTTTGGTCAGTGGAATACTTTTAAATGTAAATGTACACTTTAAATATCTCTTAACAATTTCTTTCTCTCTTTCTAGGTTCGCTGTGGATGTTACTATACCATCGCTAATGATTCGAAAATCAGTGGCAATGCCCGACGCCGCCATAAACAACAGAATTATCTGTGGATTTGCACCACAAATGGTTCCTCTTCACAACTAACCGTCTACTCACAGCATCACCAACAGGCTGGCAATCTACGAGATGTTGGCACATTTGAATTGGCCGAAACCCAAGTGACAGCCATTGAATTTGTCAAAGGTTTAGATAATTGCAAGACACGCGAAGAATACAATTCCTTATTGGGTGATCTCATTTGGATGGGCACCGATGCCAAAAAGTTATTGATATATTCTGCTAAAAATCCCGAACAAGAAGAACAATTAAATTGTTGTAGTGTGCCGGGTATAGTGACGAGGATTCTTTATCATTTCGATACTATATATGTGGCTCTAACGAATGCTACCATCTTGATTTATCGTCGTGCCTATGATGGTGTTTGGATGTTGAAAGATCCTCAGGTGGTGCAGTTGGGAGAGAGTGGCTTGCCGGTACCCAGTATTTTACCCATTAATATGAATATCTATGCTGCCTGTGCCAATCGCGTATACGTTTTGAACGCCTTAAATGGTGAGATCCAACGCAGTTTTGAGGTGCATCATGGCTCTAATCAGCAGGTCAATCTAATGGCTCATTCTGGCATAGGCTTGTGGATTTCCTTGAAGAACTCCACCATGTTGTGTTTGTATCATACGGAGACCTTTAAACACTTGCAGGATATTAATATAGCATCGAGTGTTTTGCGCAGTGATGGCAAAAAGGAACAGGCTGTTAATAATAGTGCCATTTATGTGACCGCCCTAATGGCCTGCAAGGGTTTGCTGTGGGTGGGCACCAATGTGGGCATAGCGGTTACCATACCCTTGCCCCGTTTAGAGGGTGTACCCATTATAAGTGGTGGCATTAGCATGTCTTGTCATGCTCATTTTGGACCCATAACTTTCCTATTGCCTCTGGTGCCTAAAGTGTATCCCTCGTATAAACCCTCCGCTTCAAATAACTCACAAACTTTACCACCGGCTTTGAATATAGCAGTGGAACCCGTGGTGGTTCCTAGCATGGGTGATGATTTACAATTGCCCGCCATAGATGCCGATCCCAAGAAGTTAACCGAAGCTGATTTAGATGAGAGTGCAGTGGTTTTAAGAAGAGATTTGCCTAAAGATGATTCCGGTTCGGGATCAGCCTCCCCTTCGGCCTTTATGCTAAGAGAACTAAGTGCCGATGGTGCGGATTCCAATGCCTCATCACCTCGCTGCTCTAAATTGGATAAACAAAACTCCTTGGATCAATCGTTCTCGGCGAAAATTAGAGCTTCTTTGGCCAATTCACCAGCTTTTCATCGTAAACGTTTTAGAGATTTGTCCTCAGAATCTGCTCGCATGTCTAAAACTTTACCTAGAGGTTTGGGTTCCGCAGGCTACTTCCAATCAGGTCTTAACTCCAATACTAGTACCCTGTCTCATGCAGAACATGGTTATTGTGATGTCTATGGTCTTTATGGTAAATTGATCTTTGTTAAAGAAGATTATGATGCGGAAGAAGGAACCCAGGGTAATCTCATGGATATGATGTATGAAGGCATGCGTAGATCTGATCCAGAATTAGCTGCCATACCCGGACGTGTTACCACCTTAGATAGACGTTTAAGAATGAAAGCCTCACGACCACGTTCTCTAGATCTATCCAATTGGTCAGTGGATTCAAAATCATCCAGTTTGTATACCTCCTCGGGCAGTGAGGAAAGTATGGGTATACGTTTCTTTGGCGGACGTTCGGTGTCACGCAATAGCTCTAGTGCCAGTCATAAAACCTCAGGAAATGGCAGTGATTTGGGTAATATCTCAGAAAATGGTCTAATGACCGAACTGCATCACAATCATAGTACACCCAAATCAGAGGATGGTTTCAAGCTAATGCAACAACACAAACAAGGGGGCGGAGCAGGAGCCAATACCTCTTCCACACCACCTCCAGCAGCAGCCACCGCTACACTTAAACGTAAACAAAAGCAAAACGCCAAACAACAGCAGCAGCAACAAGCCGATGGACCACGCACTATTATCACTTTGACAGGAGGACGCGGTTACTGGCGTCATGTCTGGTACAATAATACCAATTCACCCGGCCACAAATCCTCTTCCTCCTCATCCTCTCTCAGTTCAGGAGCCTCTTCACCACTCATTGCCAATTCAAATGATGCCCACATTGTTATATGGGAGAAAAAGTTATAATCTCGGGAGTATGTGTGGCACTGTAAGGCCACACCACCATCTCTAGCCAGCCAACTACAACCCTCAACATCTATGTATTTACAACCACCCTCCTCAGCACTCTCTACCCCCGAACGACGTAGTCGTGTACGTTTTCGGGGATCATTTGTAATGCGTGAGCGAGGAGGTGCCTCATCATTGACCGGTTCACCCAACTTAAGTTTAGGCACTCCCACCACCATGGGTGGCAGTTTAAGAAGATTGGCAAAATTGAGACGCGGTGGTAGTTTAAAAGAGTTTTAATTTAAGAGAGCAGTGTATAGTATTCAAGTGAGTGTTATTTATAAAGCCCATCACTTTTTTTTTCTGAAACATATTTTTGAAATCTTTAAGTAGTTTTAATGAATATTTAAAATAAAAAAAAAGTTCTTTTACTGGTGTTATATTTTATACTTACACATACAAGTTAAGCGCACTTGGCGCGGTAAGCAAAGCTTAAGCTTAAGTTAACTTTATAAGAACGACTTTATATATAAGTGTTTTTTTTATATAAAACGAGAATTAAGGTTAAATGGAAATTCAGCTAAGACAGTTTAATTGTTAATGAACTGTTCTTTATTTTAAGCATTTCATGTGTTAAATTAAAGCTAAACTTTTTGCTAATAACTTAAGTTATATATTGTTATTAATGTTGTAATAAGTGTAGTTTTTATAACACTTTTGTTTTTTTTTTTTTGGATAAAATAGAACTCTTTAAACAAAATGAAAGTTTAAACCGCTCAAAACTTGTTGTCGTTTAACATTATAACTTTTTGATTTAATTGTAAATAATTTGTATACAAAACAAAAACTTTTCTTTTTCAAATTTCTCCATAAAGAATTAAAAATTAAAAAAAAACATATTCTTTCGATATTTGTAACTTTAACATAAGACTTAACAGGAAACAAACAAACAAACAAACCATTATATAAATCTTTTGCTTACAACATATAGTTAATAAATAATTTTTTGTAGGATTTTAGTATTTACACACACACATGCCCAGATAAACACACAAAATGGAAAAAGCCTTAAATATAGAATATTGTTTTGTTTTTTATAAAGATTTTCTTTTAAAATAAATTTGTATAAATTAGTAATTTAGTGAAATAGGTTTTTCTTTGTAAAAAAAAAAATATGAAATATTTCTATTTTATTTAAACTTTAAATTTATATTTTTATGAAAATTAATTAAATATTTTTAGGCTTTTAGTAAAAAGTATTGAAATTGTAACGAAAGAAAGGCTACTACTCTGCGATTCGATTGGAAAAGAAAAATGTTCGAATTTATATGTTAAATAGTATTTCGAAAGATTTTACTTTCGAATCAAATTAAGAAGTTACTAACTTCCCAATTTTGTTGTTTTTCAATTGCCAGTAGTTCCACGAAAATATATAAATCTAAAAAATTTAGAAAATTATAGTTTTCAATAAACATTTGGACAATATTTAAACAATTCTCCTAAATATTGCCTTTTTTAAATTTCCACTCCTTCCTTAACAAATACGTTACAATTTCTCTCACTTTTTAGGCAAAAATTATGTTTTAACACAAAAACCCAAATTATGCTATTAATTTTATTAACTTTTAAACAATTTCTATAATTGTTAATAAAATTGAGCGTA